TCCCTCCCTCCCCCCCTCCCTCTCTTCCTTCCCTCCCTCCTTCCAGGACCTAGTTGACATCATCCTCTCCTCCACCCTACAAAATAGGATCAATTGGCTCCAAAGTTAAATTCAAGCTCCTAGCTTCTTAAGAGCTTTCAAATTCAAAATGGCTGTTTCTCAATTAAAAACAATAAAATTAAACCCCTAGTGCCCAGTCTTAGCCTGGGAACCCATGTTATTATATATAGACTCAATTAATATACACTGGTATATGTTACATGTGTATGGTATATCAAAACACACACAGAAAGATGGCCAGAGGTATACATTAGAAATCTTAATTGAATCATAAATATGATGTTAATTATAAAAGTAGAAGGAAATTTGATTTTTAGTTCTTACTCCTTTTCATTTTGATTGTTCCCCTTTCTCCTCTGGATGTTTTGCTTATACAGTATTTTCAAGTTTATAATCAATATAATTGCTTTTAAAAAGTGGATCTATACTTTTAAATGCAGCAAAGGAAATTTCTTTTTAGAAGAACCATGTAGGTATCTTTTATATAGCAAAGAATATTTTGTAATGTGTCTACTTGGCCCCCAATTTCTCTTTTCTTTTTTTACTTCTAGACTTTATTCATATGATCATATAAAATTTATATATATAAAATTTTGTATATTCAGAGTTTTTATGTATTACCCATATATATAAAATATACATATATAAATCTTTGTAGTGTAGCATCCACCAACGTGAGCAACGAATGGTCGGAAACTTTCAGGAGTTTAAGATGGAACTTTATTGGCCAAAGCTTTACCTGTGCAGGGGCGAACTCTAGAGGTGTCCGGAGACACGATGCCCAGAAAGGGCTGCAAATGAGAGTGGTGCCTGGTGCTTACAGCTTAGGGTTTTTATTGGGGTGAGCAAGCAAGCAAATACAGAAGCAGACGTAGCCGTTAGTGATTGACTATCTCGAGGGAACACACACGGCTATGCTTTCTGCTTACAGCAGTGGATACTTTTCTGCAAAGACAAGGTCATGCACAGGCGGTTATCTTGTTCAGCACTCTTTGTACTTTCTATATTTTCTATCTTCCTTGCTGAGTCTGGAGCCTGCCTCGGGTTCCTTGTTCCTCTTGGCTACTTTTATCTAATTCCGGGCCTAACAGTAGAATATATATTTTAGTACTTTATTCAAGAAGGCATTTCATAACTGATTTTTTGAAGATTAAAAAGAGCATATTTAATAGGAAAGGAACAGAATGAAGTAGAAAGAAACTTCCAGAACCTTGTTCTTGTATTTTCAAGGATTTTAGTAAATTGCTTTTACATATGGAGTGGAATGTCTTGAAGATAAATGTAATTTACATATATATATATACTTTATATAAAGTATATATATACACTTTACATATATATATATTTACACATATATATATACTTTATATAAAGTATACTTTAAAGTATATATATATATATATATATACTTTAAAAGTGTAATTTTCTATTCATTAAACTTTAAAGTAATAGCATTATAAGAAATATGGGAATAATATTTCAAAAGAATATGCTCCCTTTGTGTAGAATTTGTAAAACATGGATGCTAGTATTTTAAATAGGAAGGAAATTTATTGCACCTATTTTCTTCTAGTTAATTAGGAAAGTAGCCATTTTCTCCTGACACAAGCCAATTTGACAGTGGACTGGCTAAATTTATAAACCAGCTGTTTTTGTCAATAGCTGGAACATGTTGCTCTCACCTAGAACACTCTGTGTCCTCTGACACCTCAGGCAGTGGTAAGCTGTTTCCTGTGTCTATTAGTACTTTGTACATGAAGTCTGGCTTAGACGGTGTCACAGCATTTATTTATTCTCATTTGTAAACTTCTTGGGCTGAAAAAATGGATTCATATTGATCTGTATATCCTGGATGCCTAAGAGGGAGCTGTGTTTATAGGGAAGAAAAAATGTTTGTCAAAGGAAAGTTGGATAATGTTCATTCACATTCATTTAGCAGCACATGACATGCAATGTATAATACAAGGTCTGGCAGAAGTAATGCCTGCCTGAGTGTGGTTGGTGGGGTAATAATGCTGGTGTAATAATTTATAGTTTTAATTTAAACATTTCACCTAAGCTGTCATGTGGTATGCTTGAGTGTGATATAGTTATGTTACAGAATTACGTGATTATGATTTTGTAATCAAAGATGTTGTAGTAAAAAGAGGGCTTATTTGTGCCAGATCCTGTATATAGGCAATAGAGTGGGTGTTATTTTAGACTCTGGGAATACTCTGGTAACCAGGACCAATGCAGCATTTACTCTCATTAGCCTTATGATTTAGGAGAAAAACAGGAAGCATAGAATCCTTCTATAAGACTGCATTAGTAATGGGGGATCTAAGGTTTTTCGGGAGAAGTGATGTTTACATTGGGACCAGAAGTATGAACTGAAATCCTCTGAGAAGGGTTGGGAGCATTGCCAGGGAGGGAGGGCAGTGAGTCCAGTAATAGAAAGTTTATGTACTGAATCTTTAGTATTGTATTTCAGGAGTGACTTTTTTCTCCCAACAGTACTACTTGGTTGGCTCTTCATGTTACCTAATGGAGATAAGGACTGTAATTGTTGTTCAGTATTTATATAATCCTTTTCTGAGTATGGCTCTTCAGCCAGTTTTTCATCATCTCAAGTTTTTAGTCAAGAGCACATAATTCTTTTTTGATATATATTTACTTTTAGTATATTAAATCAAAGACAGCATTCTACAAAGGCTATCATAACTTTCCAATTCAGAATCACTATAAGAAAATAATCTTTTTGTGAGGATTCATTTGTTCTCTAAATTTTGGACATTACTGTAATTTTTCAGTCTCCTAGCTGCAATTCTGACTTCCAGAAAAACACATAAAAATCACCATTTACTGTTCTTAAAAGTTTGCCATCTCTTCTAATACTTGCTGAGTGCGCTCCACATCCACATATGTGCTAAATATGTATTATGAACTCTGTCTCATTTAAACATTCCAGAAACACTGTGAGATAAGTAACATTTTATTTCTTTCCTATAGATGAAGACAATAAGAGTAATTAATGTCCAAGTCTCAAAACTACAAGTAGTGGATTAGAATTTGACCTCCAAAGTATCTGAGTTAACAGTCTGATCTCCTAACCTAGTGTGCTTAAGACAGCTAAACATCATATATGAACACACTGAGATATTCTCAGACCCTCTTTACAGGTTTTCTCCAGTACAAGGAACACTATTCTTTGTTATATTTAATAAATAATTTATTTCATTTTCTTTATGCCGAAGTTCATGAATAAATGAAAACTAACATTCATAGAGTGGATAAAATAGGCCATTTCATATATTGTTGGTGAGGTGGCTGTATTTTGGAGAATTTTTTGACAATACACACACACACACACACACACACACACACACACACACTTAAAATTAACTTGCCTCTTGACTCAGCAATTTTACTTTATGAATTTATCCTGTAGCTAAATTTTCTTATGTATGCAAAGATATATCTCATGGGTGTTCATTATAGTATTGTTTAAACAGAAAAAAGTTGGTAGTGATTTGTGTGTTCAGTAGGGGTAGGGGCCTGGTGAAATAAGTATATCAATAAAGTGTAACTTTAATCAAGGATTAAACATAATGACAATACTGGCTAATCAGGCATTCACTGAGTTCTAACCACTGCTCTGAATGCTTATAAAAATTGAGGCATTATTATTATTAGATCCATTACAGAGGCCAAGTGGCTGTCCAAGGCAGTAGGACTGAGATGGCTTCAGAGTCCGCACTGTTGCTTACTGTGCAATGGAGCCTCCAACCATCTCCACCCTAATATGAAAAGAAAATAATCTGGAGTGGAAAGAGAAAATTGTAGAAAGATTTTATAGTATTACATCATTTATGAACAGGATCCATGTCTATATCTTCTGTATGGTTTATTTATAACAAAAATCTGTATTTTCTTATGGTACGAAATCATTGAAAAATATGTCCATTTATATTAGTGTGTATGAACATGTGAATATATTAATAAAATACACATATGAAACACATATAAATATACACATATACACATATATACCCATACATAAAACATTCATGGAAAAATTTCTGGATAAATATGTAAGAACTTAATGGGTTTAGGAATAGTAGGGAGATTTAAAAAACTTTCACTTTATACTCTTTAGTATGATGAATAATTTAAAACCAATAAGCACATATTGCTTGTATAATACAAATAAGTTTAAATTGAAAAAACTTAGTTTTTTGTGGTAATTTGTTAATTTGTTAACAATTATGTTACTGGCGAGGATAAAGAGGGACTTTTTTTTCATTCTTACACTCTTCTAAGTTTTGAACTTTTATAAACAAATGAGTGCATGTTCCTTTTTATAATAAAAGGTATTTTAAGTGAAAAACCTTAGTAATAGTGTACAGATTTCTTTAATAGTTATGTACTACGAAATATTATTTTTTGTATCTAAGTTTAGGAGAGAGTTTATTTACTACATTGACAGTTTAGGATAAACCTGGCTATATTAAACTTTTGTCAGAGTGCTACTGTCTTATTATCTGAAAGGCTAGCCCCTTTCTAGCACCCACTGTGTTGGAAAGTAGCTCAGTGAAGATTTACCTTATTCTTATACCCAAGATTGTATCCAGTTGAAGTCTTAGCAATGAAACCTTTCAGAGAACGGAGAGTCAGCAAATGCAGACGTTGACAGCAATTTTCCTAGATGTTGCTAGTCAATTGAGCACAATTGTCTTGCAGGAAAATGGTATTGTGCTTCTTAAATGCCAGAGCTTTTATCAAAAACAAGTGCCAATTTGAAATAGCATTGTTTATTAAGAGACAGTATTTTAGTGTCAAGTGACAATATTTTAAAATTATGCTCAGTCATGGAATGTGCTCAGAACTAGGTTGGATGATAAATGCTGAAACACGCTTAGCTGAAATTAAAGTATGACTTATTTGGGGCTGTTTTTCAGGTGAAGCTCTGAAAGTGTCAGCTGAGAGATTTGCGGATGACCCCTGCTATCTCCCCAAAAGGGAAGCTGTGGTTCAAGCTGCTCGGGCCTTGCTGGCTGCAGTTACCAGACTCCTCATCCTGGCAGACATGATTGATGTCATGTGTCTGTTGCAGCACGTGTCAGCTGTAAGTAAAAGATGGTTTAGTTTACCTCGGCCTTGTTCTCACTTCTAATTCCATTCTCTGAACCTGGCATCAATCTTGGTGCATTCTGGCCTCACCCTTGTTTCTTAATGTCACCCACTAGAAGCTGACTGGATTGGGCTGTGAAACTAGTATATATACTTCAACAGAACAAAGACAGAAGTTAGAAGGAGTATTAAAGCCAGTGGAGACTGAGCAACAGAAGATGCTTACATATAAGGAAATGGCTAGGAGAAAGTTCTAGGCTTTTGACCACTTAAATTATTATGTCCTATATAAATAAATGTATAATGACATAATTATATAGGTAAAATAATACACATATAAATAACTTGAGCAAGAGAAACTTTAAAACTTAAGATGCTTGGAAAATTTATCCCAGTTTGTGTTACTTTGCCAGCTCCTCTGGATCTGAGATAAATGGTGCATGTTTGCAGGTAGTCTCTGATATCCGTAGTAGTCCATTCTGAAAATGTGTAAATGGATTAAATATGAGTAAGGAATATATTTTAACTGGGTGACTACAAAGGCAGCAGATATCTGCTTGCTTTATTTTGCTAGACAAATCCATTAACAAAGGTTTAGCAGAAAGAGAATTTTACTAAAGCCTTTTTAAACTTTCTTACTTAATTTTAGTTTGACCAATGAATGCATTAATAGAATCCAAATGAAAAGGTTGCAGAGAACCACTTGGAGTCCCTGCTCGATCTCCTGCTTTGAATAGAACCTTTCCTCTTCTGTGTATAAATACATCTGCATTGTCATGAATATACTTGGTGACTGTAATAGCACTACTCCACTAAGCGAATGATGGCTTTGTCTGATTGACCTTTTTGCCAAAGTCATTTTCTCTAATTGTTCAGCTAAACATTTCTTTGTATCTTTATCGCTAATGCTTATTTTAACCTTAACTAGAGTGATCGCCACTTTATACATTCATATTCCTTTTTTTGATAGTATTATTACTACAAAAAAGCAATTTGGTACTTTTGTTGTTTATGTAGCATTTAAGGAAAGGGATTAGTGCTTTCCTATCACAAGAAGCTGTCTACCAGTGGATTTGACAGTGATCTAAGTGTGCAGTGTTTCTTGTTACATGGTTATTGGTTTGTTTATTACCTTAACAAATGCCTCAACATTTTTGAGAGTCATTTTTTTCATATGTGAATATAGACACTAATAAATGCTGTAACCAGGAAGTAAGTATGCAAGAATAAGTGCCAGGTAATTTCTAGTCTCAGTGATGCAATATATTTAATATTTTTTCCTTTAGATTTGTTGAGACATGGCAGAATGAAAGGCTTTTGTAAGGTAAAAATTGCTACCTATAATCACTTAGGAGATAACTATATCTATGAAGACTCCTGTATCTTCACTACCATTTTATTTGAATGCCACTAACAGCTAGGCACAGTGCTAGGTAATTCACATACATCATGTCATTTAAATGAAGCAGAAAGTAATGGTAAACCAAAGAAAAGCAAAGTACTGGTTTTTTGGAATGAAATTATAGTTAATATTTATCAAGTATTTATAATGTGCCAGGTACTGTGATGGATTATCTCCTTTCAAGCAGTCCTCATAACAACCCTATGATTATGATTTCTATTTAAAAAATTATTTTTCAATTACAGTTGACATACAACATTATACTTGTTTCAGGTATACAACATAATGCTTAAACATTTATACAGTTATACCCTACATAATTATGGACTGTATTTCCTATGCTGTCCTTTCCTTCCCATGATTGTTTTTATAATGGGAAATTTTTACTTCCTAATCTTTTCACCTTTTTCACCCATTCCCCCACCCCCCTCCCATTTGGCAACCATGAATTTGTTTTCTGTGTGAGTTTCTGTTTGTTTATTTTGGTTTTAAATTTCACACATAAGTGAGATCATATGGTATTTGTCTTTCTCTGCCTGACTTATTCCACTTAGCAAAATACCCTCTAGGTCCATCCATGTTGTCAGAAATGGCAAGATTTTTTTTGTGTGATTGAATAATATTCCATTGTGTATATGTACCACTTCTTCTTTATCCATTCATCTATCAGTGGACACTTAGGTTGCTTCCATATATTGCCTATTGTAAATAATGCTGCAAGGAACATAGGGGTGCAGATATATTTTTGAATTAGTGTTTTTGGATAAATGCCCAGAATTGGAACTTCTGGGTAATAGGTAGTTCCATTTTTAATTTTTTAAGGAGCTTTTATACTGTTTTTTTAAAAAATAATAATGGCTGCACCAGTTTACAATCCCACTAAGAGTGCATGAATATTTTTAGTTCTAATGTTTTTTGTAGATTATTTAGGGTTCTTTATATGTAGTGTTATAACAGTTTCTCTTCTTTTTTCCAATTCCAAGGGCATTTTCTTTTTCTTTTTTCTTATTTTGATCTGATTGCTGTAGCTAGGAATTTCAATACTAGGTTGACTAAAAGTGATATAGGTTGACATTTTTGTTTTGTGGATTTTAAAGAAAAAGTTTTCCCATACAATTGGTCGTCTTTTTAATTTAATACTGTTTTCTTTAGGCATGCAGAAGCTTTTTATTTTGATGAGATCCCATTTGTTTATTCTTTCCTTTATATTCCTTGCTCTAGGGGACATATCAGTAAAAATGTTGCTGCATGAAATATCTGAGATTTTCTTGCCGATGTTCTCCTCTAGGACTTTAATGGTGTCATGGCTTATATTTAAGTCTTTTATCCATCTTGAATTTATTTTGGTATATGGTGTAAGTTGGTGCTCAAGTCTCATTTTTTTGCACATAGCTGTCCAGTTCTCCCAACACCATTTGTTGAAGAGGCTATCTTTACTCCATTTTATGTTACTGTCCCCTTTGTGGTACATATACACAATGAAATTCTATGCAGCAGAGAGAAAGAAGGAGCTACTACCCTTTGCAACAACATGGATGGAACTGGAAAGCATTATGCTGAGTGAAATGAGCCAGGTGTTGAAAGACAAATACCATATGATCTTACCTTTAACAACAGAAAGCTAAACAACAAAACAAACAAGCAAACAGAAAAAAAAACAAAGACACTGAAATAGAGGACAAGGGGACAGTGACCAGAGGGGAGATGGAAGGGAATTAAAGGGGAAAAGAGGGGAGGGATTTGGAGGAACAAATATGAAGGACACAGGGACAAGAACTAAGGGGGGTGGAAATGGGAGGGAGGGGGCAGCACGGGGCGGGGGAGGCTGGGATGGGAGAAATAGACAAAAAACTGTACTTGAAAAATAACTAAATAAAATTAAAAAGAAAAAAAGAAAAGAAAAAGTTTTTTGGTTTTCATCACTGAGTGTGATGTTAGCTGTGGGTTTGTCATACACAGCCTTTATTAGATTGAGGTATATTATCTCTATGCTCACTTTGCTGAGAGTTTGTATTATAAATGGATGTTGGATTTTGTGAAATGCTTATTCCGCATCTATTGATATAATTATATGGTTTTTATCCTTCACTCTATGTGATGTATCACATTAATTGATGCAGATATTGAATCAGCCTTGCATTCTTAGAATAAATCCTACTTGATCATGGTGTATGATCTTTTTATTTTTAAAAAAATTTACACCAAGATTTTATTTTTTTCTTTATTTTTTAAAAGTTATATTTTATTGTGTATGCTATTACTGTTGTCCCCATTTCACCCCTTCACCCACCTCTACTCAGCACCCCCCACTCCCTCAGGCATCCCCACACTGTTGCCCATGACCATGGGTCATGCAGATACGTTCCTTGGCTACTCTATTCCCTCTGCTGTACTTGACCTCCTTATGACTATCCTGTAACTACCAAATTGTACTTCTTAATCCCTTCACCTTTTTCACCCACCCCCCTCACCCCTTTCCATATGGCAATTATTGAAATGTACTTTGTATCTGTGATTCTGTCTCTGTTATTCTTATTTGTTTAGTTTGTTTTTTAGATTCAATGTTGATAGATGTGTATTTATCACCATTTTTAAAATTACTTCATTGTTGTTCAATTACAGTTGTCTGCATTTTCTGCCCCCCACCCCACACCAGCCAAACCCACCTCCCTCCCTTGCTTCCACCCTCCCCCTTGGTTTTGTCCATGTGTATAGTAGTTCTTGAAAAACCTTTTTGCCACTGACCCCTCCCCCCTCCCCTCTGGCTATTGTTAGATTGTTCTTAATTTCAATGTCTCTGGTTATATTTTGCTTGCTTTTTTTCTGTCGTTGATTATGTTCCAGTTAAAGGTGTGATCATATGGTATTTGTCCCTCACCACCTGGCTTATTTCTCTTAGCATAATGCTCTCCAGTTCCATCCATGCTGTCTCAGAGTGTAGGAGCTCCTTCTTTCTCTCTGCTGCGCAGAATTCTGTTGTGTAAAATTACCATAGTTTTTGGATCCACTCATTAACTGTTGGGCACTTAGGTTGCTTCCAGCACTTGGCTATTGTAAATTGTGCTGCTATGAACATTGGGGTGCATAGGTTCTTTTGGGCTGGTGTTTCAGGGCTCTTAGGGTATAGTCCCAGCAGTGGAATTGTGAGGTCAAAAGGCAGTTCCATTTTTAGTTTTCTGAGGAAATTCCATACTGTTTTCCACAGTGGCTGCACCAGTCTGCATTCCCACCAACAGTGCACTAGGGTTCCCTTTTCTCTGCATCCTGTCCAACACTTGTTTGTTGATTTGTTTATGATGGCCATTTACCTTTCAGTCTCTGTGTGTCTTTCCATCTGAGGTGGGTCTCTTATAGGCAGAATATGAACAAGTCTTATTTTTAAAAAATTATCTTATTGTTGTTCAATTAGTTGTCTGCATTTACACTTAAAAAATTGATGCAGCCACAGTATATCTTTTGATTGGAGCATTTAGTTCATTTACATTCAAAGTAATTATTAATATATATGCAGTTATTGCCATTTTATTAATTGTTTTCTGATTGTTCTTGTAGTTTTTCTCTGTTCCATTCTCATTCTCTTGCTCTCTTCTCTT